GTTGATTTACAATCAAAGCTATTTTTGGTACTCGTAAACAGCCAATTTCTGCTTTGGCACGGCCATGAAACCGCTCAAAATTCCTAACGCTAACCTCAACTCTAACCCTAAACCCACGCTACGTTGGCGCTGGGGTGGATAAGTTCTAGGTTGGTGGGCGGACATTGGCGCTAGGTAGGTGTTGATGGGATAATTCTAGGCTGGTAGGCTCGGATAGGTGCTAGGTTGTCGTTGATGCATATATCTACGTTGTTACTGCTTAGGTGCTAGGCTGGTTCCTGACGTGGGTAGCTGCTAGATTGGTGGTGCTTGGAGTAGGCCTAGGTCGCTCATGGGTTGTACACGGCGCTCACGCAGGTTTGTGTAGGTGGGACTGTCAAAATGTGGGTGCATGGCTTAGGTGCGTCCCCATCTGCAGAGGGACATCGAATACTGTTGCACCGAGGTGCCAGGCGAAAACATTGCGAACGTTGGGCACATGTTTGATGGATCCGTCCCCCCCAGCCGTCGAATTTGCAAAGTAGTTTTTCCTAAAATTTCAATCTACCATCAACCGTAGGCCAACGTCCACTATCGATCGTCAGCACGAACAAGTGTTACTTGCTACAAGTGTACTGTGGTTCAACAGAAAATCCCTGCCGAAGGCGCAGCCATTACTAACTACTGCTGCAGAAGAGGTCGCGTTCATTGCCGGCTTCACCACAAGAATGGTGGAGTAGCCTCTCGGCGAATGGCAAGCTCAAAAACCCGTGATCCCGCGGACAAAAAAACAACGCTTGAGTTCACTCAGCCTTGACGGATACATGCACATTTGGGGACCAAGGCAACAAACTGCATCTATCGTACTCGTCAAGCCCTCGGGGGTGTTGTCGCCGTCGTCGAACAACCCCATGACATGCAAGAAAACCAGTTCGCCAAAATACTCGTTCACGCACGCCTCGCCGTGTCAACGGTGTAACACCGCACCAAACAGGGTTACGGGAGGTGGAGTCGGCACCCTTATTCCGGCTTTCTGCCAAACCGAAGGGTGTGTGTGTCCTTGTCACCACTTGGCGAGGATGTCAACGTTACGGATGCAGACCAGCTCAAACTCATCCGTCTCTAGGCCTTCGATCTGGATAACTTCTGCCGCGAAGTCCTGCAGGTCATCGCCGCGAACAAGCACGGCCGAACACAGCAAACCAAACAGGCGTTGACTAAGGCACTGAGTGGGACACCATGATCTGGCCAGCCTGAATTGTAGCCTCATTCCAACTCAAATGGCATTGAGCGGTGTTTGTCAACACATCCCAAGAAGCTCTAGGTTTATCTTCACGTGAACCCCGCATTCCAGAGAGGTTTGCTTGCACAATTTGCAATTTGTTGGTGAGTATAGGGCTGTGGTATCAATGGATCTGCTGCAACACGTTCTTGAAGCCAGCCATCAGGAAATCGACGAGCACGGTACACCAAGACCGTGCGTTGAAAACACGCTGCCCTGTAGCAGCACTACATGAAACAGACACGCGAGAACGCCGTCAGAGATGACAAAATTTCTGTTCCTCAGCAGCAGCAGTACCTTGCCTCTAGCCAAGAGGAGCAGCAGTTAGCACAGACACAATCGGCACAAACAGCCGTGCAGCATTAGCAAGGCAACAATCGCCAAAATTAACCAAGTCCGTGTGCTTGAGCAAGGTCGATGCAGGGGGAGAGCCCGGGCGCTCCTTGCCCAGGGCGAAACAACGCAAAATGTTGGCCACGCTCTCAATGTCCCTACCCCCCCCCCAAAAAAAGAGCGACCAAAAGGATTCGAATGGCCGGCTCCGCCATGCCCGGACTTTGTTGAACTATTGAGCGATCGGACCCAACTCCCATCACACGACCGGCATGAGAAGCCGAAATCGAGTCAGTCCTTGTGCTTCTTTCCTCTAGGACAGGAGGCGCCACGGAAAAGAAAAGGCCCGTTCCTCGCCTCCGGACTATCTACCTCTGCCTCCCTGTCGTGGCTCTTGGTTTCGGCCTATCGGGGCGGTAAGGCGATGCAATATGGCCCCCTCGTCCCTGTAGCAGCAGCAGCGTGAAAGTCAACCACCACCCACCTTGTACTTGACGCAGTCCCCAACCTCGCAGTACATGGGCATCATGAGCCCGCTGGGAACCATCCTCCCCGGGCCAACCTTCACCACCTGCCCGATGGTAGGGCGGGTGGACCGCGTGGCCGACTCGGCGATGAGAACGCCTGCGGCGGAAGAGGAAGTGCCCTTCGGTACGGCTTTCACCTGCAGAAGCACCCTGTCGCCAATCATGCGAGCTGTGTCCAAGTTGATCTGACGGCGAATGGATGCAGGGGGGGCAGTGCACGGTGGTTGTGGGCACGCAATTTCTTTGGAGATTGTCCTAGGAGAGTTCGGGTGGATGCGCGCTCCGTGCGAAGGTGGAGTGCCAAAACAAAATGGTTGTTCGTTTCTCACCGTTGTGATCGAGAAAAGGCCAATGATAATTCGAGCGAAGCGAGATTTTTAATCTGGCCTGAGGTCTCGCCGCAATATAGGGCCCCGTCAAGACCGGAACATTTGTACGTCCGTCGGACAAATCTAGCTTAAAAAGTGCATGACTTGAAACAGGGGTCAGCAGATGCATCTCTTCTTTTTTGCCGGAGCACACAGCGGATTGCACCACAGAACACACGCACTGCGGGCGACACCACACAGCAGACGAGACACGCACAGCAGACAGCGTACGCACAAAAGGCGACACACACGAACAGTGGGCGACAGCATCTGGGCTCCATGCCGCTGGAATCTGTGGTGTGATGAGGCTGTGTATTGCTGTCGCACATGTTTTTCTTATGACCACCGCGTTCAACTGCCAGCAGTGTGAGCACAGCACCACAATAGTTCTCGAAACCTAGGACGCCGATCGCCATCGCACCACTTCGAGCGTGGGTTCCATTGTGGTGTCTCTGCGTGTGATGATTGTGTTGGGCATGGGTGCTGTATGTGGGGAGAGCATCGTGGCGATGTGATTTCCGGTTTGGCTTTTTCGCCTGGCGATGGGGTCCGATTACCCGGGCAAACAAAAAAACGATTTGGATTCCACGCCGCCGCGAAGGTCTTCCCACACGCAGCACCCGTGCCTAATACAACTGTAACGCCCCGAGATATCGCAACGGAGCACACGCTCGAAGTGGTGCCATGACGATTGGTGCGCTTGGTGACGAGAACTGACTTGCGTCCTGTTGTTTCGCTGGCAGTTGGAAAACCATCGGACAAAACAAGAGGGAACAGGGGGTTAAGGACTAGTATGCGGGGGGTACATATGACCACGAAAGCGGGATATAGACAGGAGGGGGGGTAACCGGTTCTCGCACCAGCGCACAGCAGGTAGGTGTACCTAGTATCAAGTGTGTGGTGTTTGCAATCTGTTTCCGCCCGTGGGCGCACACGTCTGACGACAGTTACATCTACCACGTTGTAGCGACAGCTATGCATAGTATATCTTAGAGCTGCATAGTCTAGGGGGGGGTGGTAGGGATTGCGATAATGATTTCTTCCCTTCGTACTTCGCACCCACAACCCAAATCATCCTTTATCTGACAAAGAGGGTTGGCCTGCTTCCGGGCACCGTTGTTAGCACAGAAGACAACACAGCACTGCTGTCCCTGTGGACACACGGTGACTCGATCGAGCCTGGCAACTCCCGCCCTTGCTCTCAACCCTCGGAGGGCTGGCATGGCAATGATAATACATATTGGGAGACACAGAGGATGGTGGACATAGCGGGCCGCGAGATTTGAATTCTCAAAAGGGTTTCGTTATATGTTTGTATTGCATCACGTGAGGTATATCCGTTTCATGGAGGTGTTGCAAAATGGCGTTGCACCTGTGTACAGAAATGCAAAAAGGGGCCTTCCGCCATCCCAATGCACGCTATCGAAGAACGTGCGTGTCGACATGTTTCTACTTGCTGGAGACTGCTATTGTTGTAGAATAGTACAACAGCAGTCCAGGCTTGAACAGAAATATCGATCAACCGTAACGGTCGCGGTGCTGAAACACATACACTATATTATTCCCCACACCGACGCGCATGGCAGCAGCTGTACGGCGTGGGTGCAAAAGCAGCCACCACAACTGGGGAGACCAGACTGCGGAAGTTTGCTCGTCCGTAGAGAGCAGCAATGTTGGTTTGGTCTCCATCATGTCTAGACTCTGTCTAGTCTGAGACACATGATCATGATATGAGGTTCAGAGATGAGGTGCTGTCAGCTAAATATGGGCTACACGCCACAGCTCACCTCTTCCCCTTCGTACGCCATGAGGAGCTCGGTGTCCCTCATGAGCAGGTGCTCCGAGCCCTGGTACTGCACCGACGTCCCGTCGAAGTTTCCGTACACCACGCGCTCGCCGACCTCTACCGTGATGGGGATCTTGACCCCGGTGTCCCAGTGCCTCTTCCCCTCTCCCACCGCCGTCACAGTCCCTCTGGTGATCTTGACGTTCTTCATCTTTGGCAAGAAAACCCCACCCTCCGTGACAGCCTTCTGCTTGTCCACCTTGACCATGACGGTATCTTCTACCGGGATGAGAGGCCCACGGATCTCCTTCTCGTCCAGTTCGTACTCAGCCGTTGTCTCCGAGGAGCGCACCAAGCCCGCCGGTGCTCTTCGTGATCGTCTGCTACTGGTGTCCGCACCGCCGCCCACGCGTCGTGCAGTTGCTGTTGACCCTGCTGCTGCTGTCGTCAGGGACCTTGGTCGGACTTCGCCGGGCGTGACAACGAAGGCCGACGTCGACGAAGCGACCACGGCCAGTGCCGCGATCGTGTTTAGTACTGGTGCCATCATTGCTCAGTGCTGGACTCGCACTGGAGGTTGCAGCTAATACAAGCAGCGGTGTGTGTGTGAGGCCCAGGCCGCCGAGAGGGGACCCTTCAAACTGGTCTCGACCAGGGGATGACCAATGTAGGATTCATGCTTGTCGCGGGGCCCCTGTTGGCTTTGCATTTGCTGCGCAGCGAACCAGCAAGGCAGCAGGAGGACAGCTGACACAGCAACAGCAGAGGGAGAGGAGCTGGCAAAAGAGAGGAGGTGAATTCACCTCCGGCGCATTCACGCGTGGATCGGTGCTAGAGATAATGGCTCACGGGTCTACGATGGCGGCATCGGTGGTCGTCCTAGGTCTCGCATGTTTCCGACAGGCGTCCGCATTTGTCGTATCCGTGCGGTCGCCTGCCGCCACCGCACCTGCTCCTGCCACTGCAGCAGGGCTTATTCGTATCAACATCGTTGGAGAGCACCGATTGCATCGAAGAACGCGCACCGCCTCTGGCGTCTACCGTCTCTCGATGCAAAAGGCGGCGGGGTCACAGGATGCGGGCGGCAGACGTAGCAGCTGCAGCAGCAGCGGCGGCGGCGGCGGAGCATCCACCAGATTAGAGTTCGGGGCGGGACTGGGAGCGGCCGCGGCAGCCATCGTGATGGGCGGTACCAGCGCAAGAGGTGCCCTAGCGGAAGACGCCAATGGAGATGCTGCCACAGCAGTGGTCGCGACGGCGGGAGCTGAAGGAGCTGCCCATGCGGCTTCGCCGGCGGCGACGGAGACCACACCGTCGTTGCGCGAGCTTGGGTTCGAGGTCCCCTACACCGGGAAGTTGGTCCCGCTGAACAAGTTCTTGGGGAGCCGGGCCACCCTGGTGGTCAACGGAAAGCTTGACGATCCGGAAGCGCTGCATCAGGTGATTGGACTAGAGCATTGGCCACCACTGTGTACACCTGCGGGGCGGTGTAAGCGTCGCACTTGGGAGGCCGAACAAAGAACGCCGGCAGGGCAATTTGCCCGGTGGAGGTGACATGACATGAGGTACCCCACCCCAGGACCGTTTTCAAAAGCTCGGCTGCACCCTATGGCGAAGAGGGTGCATACATGAAACGATGCGTTTGCGGAGAGCTCTCGATGAGGAGGCTTCCGCGCCGCCGTTTTCAGCGCTGCAAATATTTCTGCTGTGGACAAATCGAGCTTGAACAATCGCTCCAGGGGGTGTGGTATCTTATGTCATATTATTTGTACAAGGTCGCCCCGGTGGTCTAGTGGGTAGCCTCGCAGCCTGCTAAGGGCCAGGTCATGGGTTCGAGTCCCGGCAGAGAGATTTTTTTCTCACTAAATAAATCCTGGTCCAGGATGAAAGCGACGCGCTGCAAAGCTCGTTTGTTAGTAAACCAAAATCGACTTCGTAAGTCGCGAGGGAAGGGATCGCTGTACCCTCGCGATAAAATACCTCAGGCAGGAACCGCAGGAGGGGGTCCAGCCCCCCCCTCCTGTGTGACCCCGGTTGGGTCGTCTAGCTAGTAGAAGTGGAGGATAGGGGCCAGAGTGGCAGACGACAGAGTCCAATGATGGGAGAAAAACAAACAAACAACAACAAACATATTTGTTGCCGGTCGTGGAGTGGAACATCCACCTTACCTGCTGGTGTTGTTCCAGGATATATAGCGCACGGTGATGACATCTGTGATGGGGGTTGTGACGGACACAGAAATAGTCCTGCTGCGTTGTGCACCTGTCTTCTCCGCGGGCACAGAATTGGTTCAGCTTCGTTTTTGCAATCACAATCTTGCGGATACGCCTGCCGGAGAAAGAATACTGTTGCCGGGTGTTGGTCTTCTCCACCCCGCTGTCCTGCTTTTGGCCCCAAAGAAGGAATGCGAGAACACCAATCATCCGCCCACTCTAGGCAACAGGAGGGTGAGAGTTTCACCTCTGTAGAGTTGTATTGATCTTGCTGCTGCAGTCAACAGCTCAATTTGTACAGCAGTGTTGTGCGATGAGCATTTCCCGTCGAACCGACAACGATATTGCCTCGCGCTCAATAATATTTTGAAGGCTTACAGCTCAAGACTGCCCGCATTGAGTGTTGGAATGATGCAAGGGAATGCCAATGTCGTACGATGCCAAATGGCGTCAAAATGTGGATGGGTCATGAGATCGGGTACTGTATGTACCCATCCATCCTCTGCGTAACGGGGGATATCTTGCCCGGACTATTCTACTCATGTGTTTGAGATATGTCTGCAAGTGGTACCAAAAGTGTCGGATAGGTCATCAATGCGTGCTGGGTGAAACAGGCCCCGCCTTGTTGGCTGGGTTTACTAGACACAGCTTCGCAATGCCGGTCATGTGGACGCAGCAGTTGTGGGTTTAGTGTCGTCCTGGCTATTCTGCGGGAGAAACCGAATACGTTCCGCAGGATACAGGCAATGAATGCGTTTGATTTCGGTTGTTTGAACTGCCAGAACAAGCGCTGGCGATGCCAGAAGCCGGGCGCTTGCTCTTTTGGCCGGAGCTTGGCTAGACGTAGATGAAATTTTGTTGGGAGTAATGAACCGCGAGCCGCGCCTTGATTTCTAGGTGTACGGCACGGTGCCACGAAACGCGGGTTCTGATTGGCTACTTCGTCCGACTGCAACGTTTGATCCCCGGCGGTTGCCGTACCTTGCAGATGCCTGGTTTAACGAAACTGGCATCGGAGTACTCCAAGGACGGGCTGAACGTGCTACTGTTCCCGACTGATCAGGTGCGTAGCCTCTACCCCCGATGGATTGCACGGAGGGAGGGGAAGGGGTCATGCCGAGCATGTAGCAGAGTGGTTGTTGCCCTGCCGCGATCCAGAGACCGCGGTTGATTGATTTCGTGGCCGACGGTGTCGCATCAATGATACGGCAAGGGAAGAAGCACGCAGGGGACCGCAGCGTTGGAAATGTTGGATACAGCAATTCATTGCGATTGTGCGACAGAGTTGGTGGGATCGGGAACTGCCTGTATCCGTACAGTGCTCTTTCACTGATGGTTCTGTTTTTTCAGTGACGTATGATACAGTCTTCCACGCACATACTCTTGTTCACGTGTACTAGAGGACGGAGGGCAGCCAAGGAACAAAACGTCAAGTAGTACCAAAACGCCATGCAGCAATAATTGTGGTATTATCGCAGTATTCAGGACAACCGAGAGTTGGCAACGTGTTTGGGTTGATGTCAGCAGAGACATGCGTGGTCAATAACCAAAAAAGAATCTGAGGAAAGAATCCAAGGATAAGGAGGGCCTAGAAGTGTACGGAATGTTGAAGGAAGGAATAGGGTTCAAGGACTACCTACATGGACCAATGGATGCAGGAACAAAGCTTAAGGTCAAATTCAGGACCGGGGACATAGGCCTTCGAGAACGTCGACGAAGACATAGGACGGTAGACGAGGAAGACGACGAGTTCAAATGTGATTGCGGCTTCGAATGCGAAGACCGTGTTCATGTAGTCGCGGAATGTCCGTTGTACAAGAAGGAGAGGGAAGTGTACGTGACTGAGCTGGGAAAAATAGATGGAACGTACAGGGAGATGTTTGAGGCATGGAATAGAGAGGAAAGGACGGTAGCTGTACTGGGGCATAGGAGGTGGGTTGAAAAGGCGGGAAGGGATATCGTTAGGATAGACAGACTAGGGAAGACATTTTTGAGCCACCTTTGGCAAAGTAGAAAGGAACGATTGGCCATCGGTGATCGGTCCTGTGGGAACAATGCTCCGTCCTCTCGAGGACGCGTGGTCAATGGTCTAACCGCTAAGACATGCAAAACATAAGAGTACGCCCCCACCCCCAAACCCCCCCTCCCCCCTCTTCACCTGGCTCCGGTGTTTGCCATCGGGGTTGGGTTTTCGTCGCTTGGCAACGACGTTGTAAAACAAGCCGCCCCCCCCGGTGTTTGCCATCGGGATTGGGTTTTCGTCGCTTGGCAACGACGTTGTAAAACAAGCCAATTCACTTCGTGAACTCGGCAACCAGGTTACCGTTTTTTTTTTTTTCCTCCGTTTATTTTTTTTGGGCGGTAACCATAATGATGGTTGAGTAGATCATGTTGTGCGGGGTGAACCCTCACTCCGCGCAAGGGGGATGATCGCACCACGTTGTGTTGAAATGGTCAAGCACCCTCGAGGCAGTTACACAGTGCTTACAACTGTCTCTGGAAGTGAAAGCACCAGAAAATAAATTAATTCATACGCAGCTGTCATCCGTACGCAAGGAAGTAAGCACAAGATGCCGAACACCCTTAGCAGGATGCAGCGCACCCTTCATGCGACTCGCCGAATATCTCACGGCGCTTCGCGCTTGGTGATGTGAGAGCCTGGTCCGGTGAGAACCCGGCGTGCTCCGTCCCGGCTTTGTCGGGATGCGAGGTCAATGGTCTAACGACTACGGCATGCACGACTATGAGTACACACACACACACACACTCACACACAAACACCGCGTTGCTTGCTCGTTGGCTTGATTGTCGCTGCTGTCACCACAGGGGACTTTCGAGGCGGACGAGGATCGCGTGGTCCGAATCAAGTTCTACCAGTTCTACGGTTTCGGTCAGTATCCGAAGGCCGTGGTGTTCGACAAGATCGACATCGTGGGCAACACCATCCACCCCTTCTACAGGTTCGGGTTAGAACCCAACACGATGGCGGTGTCCTAAGCGACGAGTGAGATGAAAAATCTATGCGTGAGCACAAGGCTGAGAACGCGGAAGAGTCGGAGATGGCAGCCATGTACCGCTGTACAGGACTCTCAGCCGTGCCACGCGGTTTTAACGGCATTGTGTGTCAACGGCACTATGTAACGTGACCACCTTGGCGAGGGTTTGATTATTTTCATCTATGAAATAGAGAAGAGAGGTTCGTCCCTATCCCTGACCCCACAACGCACTCCTACCAAAACCAAGAAAAAATTCCTTGACGAAGGCTGCTGGCAGGCACTGCATGTAATTGCCGACCGGTCTTGATTGTGACGACAACAGATACCTCTGCCGGGCGCTGAAGAACCCCAACGGCATCGCGCGCATCACGCTTAACTACGAGAAGTTCCTGCTGGACCAAGACGGGAAGGTGGTGCGACGGTATCCACGCAAGCTCGAGGCCGCCGACTTCGAGGCGGACGTAAAGGTACAGTTAGTCGGGTAGAGGTCACGTAACGGTACCGTCGGTCACGGTTTTTATGTATGGTATCACGTAATCTTACAGTTACACGAAAAGGTACAGTTTTCGACGTAAAGGTACAGTCAGCCACGAAAAGGTACCGGTAGTTACGAAAAGGTACAGGTTTTGACGTAGAGGCACACTTAGTCACGTAAAGGTACAGCAGTCAGTCACCAAATACCGTAACAAGCAACGGCAGGAAAACAACCGTGAAATGCAAGAGGAACGCTCAAAAGATTGGCTGTCACGTGACCCCCTCGAAAAAATGTCACTTTCCGTTCGCTTTTTGAGGAAGGAAAATGCAGACCAGTGACGGCCCAACCTGAGGACCCGAATCATGCATGCGCTGCGCGGTCACAATGTTCCGTGTTTCCCGCGATCAAGCCGAAGGACACGCAATTCCCCCAAGAGACGCCGACTGAACAGGCTGCATCGCGTGAATGCCCCCTCGTGCCCGTCCCCAAACGGCGTGTTTTGGAACACCTGCATCCTCTTATCGTTCAGGCGGTGATAGCGGGTGACCCGCTGCCGGCCGAGAATCGCGACTACAAGCTGTCGTGGCTTAAGGCAGACCAGGAGGCTACGAAGTCGGAGTACGCGTTCAAGTTGGGCCTCAACTACTACAACAACTGACGAAAGCTGTTGTAGCGATACTGGGGTGGGGGTGGAAGTTGTTTTTCCGTTGGACAAGGGCGACAGCCTAGTACAAGTCACGCTACTAGGCTGCCCTCCATGGAGAGCACAGCACTGAGAGTGTCGGCCAAGGGAAACATAACATGAAAAGAAAGGATAGTGGTGGTGGTATATCATGGCTCCCCCATGTTTGAGGGAGACAGCCTGCTGAATAAATCTCGC